ATATATATATATATATATATATATATATATATATATATATATATATATATATATATATATATATATATACATATATACATGTGTAAATACATAGTTATACATTCCTGTGTTTAGCTAGGTATATATACACACATATTACATACATACATACATACATACATACATATATATATATATATAATATAGTTACACATTTGTATAGAATTATATTTAATACACACGGTGGTTCCCAAAAGTACACTACACTATGACTTATTATACTTTATGCCATCGTATTTCGGTTTTTTATTAATTAATTGTTTTGCTTATTGTTTTTACCGATTTGCATATATATGATATAATTTTAATGGCCTAACCGTATTGAAAAAAAATGGTTCTCGCATAATAACTTATGTCAAGCAACGATGGGCACGGTTAGTACCATGGGGTGGGTCACCCCGTTAGAAAAAACTGTGTGCTGTTGATTTAAAAAAAAAAACAAAAAAGGAATAAAAGACACCAAAGTAGGTCATTGGAAATTTTTTTGTCGTCCATTACAGACGTTCGCAAATCTCTTAAAACTTTAGAATGGCAATCGTAAAACGTACCGAAGTTTATCTCACAGCTGTTTAATATATCTCGTTATACGAAGAAAGAGAGAAAGAGAGAGAATTGTCGTGATTTAGTTTTCTTATTTAGCGATAATTACGAACGTTCCTTTTGTCGAGTTTTAATTTAAATAGAAAATAGAAACTTTACTTGATCGTTAGTTTTTCTTTTTTTTTTTTCTCTATTGATAATATGTAATTACATTGATCGTGTTAATCATATCACAACGGCGTCGAATTTTGATAAAACATTTAGCTAATATTAAAAATGATATTGGGATAAATACGATGAAACAAAACTTGACTTATTTACATCAAACGTACCAAGTTTCATGTATAGTTATTTATGGATCAAATGATTCATCTTCAAAAAGTCATATATCTTACGATCTATATATGGCCGTATTCAATGGCCAAAAAAATTTTGCCGTTTAATGGTGTTAATCTTTATTATTCAAGAAAGTTATTATAAATATAAAAAGTTATGACTATACCAAGTGCTTTGACACTTAAATTTAAGATTTTTCAAAAAGTGGAGTTAATCGATGTGTGCACTGAACGGCTCATATAGCAAAAAATAATATACCATTAATGTGCAATAAAAATGTCTGACTCACTAAATAGCACTCAATAATGTGTTAGAAATTTCTCTAAGAATTGACAATCGGTCATTGGACCTCGATTATAGTACGTTTAGGATTAATTACAAAATAGAAAAGTTTTGATATTTGAAATTACCTTTGCGTTACGTTCGTTTTTTCTTTTACAAATGTGCCCATAATTATGAAAGTGGTCTAATAAATCATATATTTTTTGTTTCGAGATATTTAGAGGATTACATTTGAACACTAAATGATTTCTATATAATATTGAAATAGCAAACACTATCTAACGGTTCATTTTTGACAATATCGTAAAAATTATATTGAATTTACTTGGTTTAAAATAATGTGATGGGAAATAATTTTTAATTTTGACTTAGACCACTTTCATTACTATGGGCATATATACATATATACATATGTATATTTTTATCAAAAGTTAAAGACAAATTCTATAAAATTGTGAGAGTTTTTTCGTTGCTTCAACGTTGGAAAATATCAAAAATTTCTTCGAAGAAGAAAAGGCATCGTCTTTCGGAATCGAAGGTTATGAGAAAGGTCCAGTAGCAAGATATTTTCTCTATTTCTCTCTCTCTCTCTCTTTCTCTTTGATTCTCTTGAAGATGCATACGTGTTCTTCTTCTTCTGCTTCTTCTTCTTCCTCTTCTTCTAACATAGCTCCTCGTTCGAGAACAAAAACGAGATTGATACCGTTCGGAATAGCGATGGGATCGAGATCGTTTCATGTAGGAAAGGAAAACGTGCGAGCTGCATTCTATCTCTATCTTTTTCTTTCCTTTCCTTTCCTTTCCTTTCCCTTCCTTTTCCTTTTTTTTCTTTCCTTCTTTCTATATCTATCTATCTATCTATCTATCTATCTATCTATCTATCTATCTATCTATCTATCTATCTATCTATCTATCTATCTATCTATTCTTTCTTTTTCGTGGCTCTCTTCTATGCAAGAAGAATTTCGCGTGACGGCCAATCAACGTCTTCTTTCTTCTCTTCTACTTCCACGCATATAAAGGAGACTGTAGACGAGCTTGACGTGTCTCTTCGAAAATCCACGTAAATATCAAAAAGTATATTCATGTGCGTCTGTGTATATGCTCCTCTGTGTGTGCGTGTGTGTATCTTTCATCTCTGATCTGTTATACTGAAGAAAAATACGAACACGTTATATTCACGTCAAATAATCACATTATCTTTTTTAATCATAAGAATGATACACATATATGCGGAGGTAGAAGTATCCGGTATAGTATAATTGTGTGCGTGCGTGTGTGTGACAAAGCGCTTGCACAAGAGTAAGCTCGACACGTGGTAGGATGTTGCTTACGTCTGAGCAAAGTTCCGCGCGTGGCAAGATGTTATCGGCTTGCACAAAAGTAAGCTCAACACGTGGCCTGATGTTCGCTTGCTCAAGAAGATGGCGATGAATCAAAAAGCTTCAAGAAACAACGTGAACGGCGCGAGAAATTGTTTAACCCCTGGTATGCAGGGTGGGAGCGCGAACATATAAGGAGAGAGTGAACACGCGTGAGGGACCAAGTCAATAGCGAGTGAAGGGTAAATGGGGGGGGGGGAGTAGAGAGGGAGTTTAATGATGAGTCTTCGGGAATAGTGAGTCTTCAGGAATAGCGAACCTTCGGGAATAGCGAGTCTTCGGGAATATCCAGTCAACGGGAATAACGAATAAGGATTGTGAGTATAGCAAGTTTTCGGGTTGTTAGCGAGTTGCGGGATTAATTGTAAGCTTTGCGGATTTTTGCGGGTTTCGTCTGTTTTGTGAGTCAGTATGAGTATTTGTGAGGTCAGAGTGAGCGTGAGAGATTGTAAATTGTGAGTCAAATTAATTGTAATAAATCGTAAATTGTTAAATAAAGAATACATCTATTATATCTTAACCAGTTAAGTGTGGCGATCTGTGCGCAGAGCGCCCTCCGGTGTGTGTTGCGATAATCAAGCGATGAAGGATATAGTCGTCAAACAAAGAGTAAGTGGCGCTGTTAAAATATTGAGTCAAAAAGACGACTTTATTTTAGAAAATGAACAATTTTGTTAGTAATGTACACACAGTTTCTTAATATTAACATATATTTATACATAATAAACGGAAAAATTAGAGAAAAAATCGAATATTTATAGAAGTTAAAAATTTATTCTTGACTTTTTCTTTACCTTTAAACATTTTAAACATATTAAAATTTACGAAAATA